TTTAAAAAATTTAATCATCATTTAATAGATAAGTTTTATTGACTTTTTCACCAGATGGAAGAATTACTTTATGAGTAATTATTTTAGAGCTCTTGGAATTGGATATAGAAATCTGATTATTGTTGTCATTAATTGTAATTAACTGGTCATTCTGAACATTATCATTATCACTATTATTATTACTATTATTATTATTCAAAATTTTAATGTTATTATTATCATCAATGATGTCTTTATTACTAGTATCTACTACAGCTTCAGTATTACTATCACTATTGGTATATTTGTAGCTATTATCATTGTTTGAAATGATTTCAATATTACCAGTAAATTCATTTTGGTTTTCATTTTCATTATGAGTTTGTTGATTTAATTCTCTGTCTTTTTCATCATCACTAACAACAACACTATTAACCATTTCATTGGATTTCTTTTTTCTTCTATAAAAAATAATAATAGAAATAAAAGCAATGATGAAGATTGCACCAGATGTAACTGATCCAATAATTATACCAGTAGTTTGTTCATTGGCAGCTGCACTGGTGGTGGTTGTATCTATTGAAGGATTAGCACTGGTGGTAGTTGTATCTATTGAAGGATTAGGTATTGAAGGATTAGGACTGGTGGTGGTTGGTTCACTAACAGTGCTAGTAATGATTTTAACTAAAGGATCAAATGTGTCCAACCATTTGTAATTATATTTGTCACTAATATTTAATAATAAGATATTTTGATAACTAGCAACATTGATAATGTAACCTATTATTATTATTAAATATAAATAAAATTAATATAAACAAGTAAATATACTTATGTATGAATTTCAAAGATTATTATCATAAATTACCAAATGAGATTATCATGTAATTTTTATATAAATTTGAAGTATGGAATTTATGGTTTTGATTGATTAGATTAACAGGATAATTAGTAACATTTGTTGGAACTGTCCATTGGAAAGGAGATTTTGTTACATCCAATATTGCTAATTTGTCTGAATTTTCAGTACCGCCATACACAATTATCCTTCCATCAGGTGCTAAAAATAAATAAATATTGTATATAAATTGAAAAAAATATATTTGATTAAATAATTACAATAATAATTAATTTACTTAATACTGAAGAATATCCACTTCGTGTAGAAGGTACATCACCAACTGTTGTCTAATATA